AACTGGCTTAATGCGGCAAACAAAAATTTAAAAATTTGTATTAGTGGCCGCCAATGTCAGATCTTTCAATTTCATGCGCTAAACTAGTATACCATTAATCCCATTAGCTGATGGACATAAGCTGGCCAAAATTTAATTAGCCCTGAGGCAGCAAAACTTTGTTAAATCAAACGCCTTTGTCAATAGGGGAAAGCTGCCAGTCAGCTGATTTTGTTTGGGAACAAAAAAGACCAAAAAAAGGGATATGTTAAGAGAAACCCGAAAATGTCATCAAATTCACTTCAGAGTGAAAACCAGAAAAGGCATGATATTCTATTGGACATTTACGATAAACAACATAACCATTACAAACAATTGTCAAGTTACATAAATCGGGCAAAAACGACACACATATCACATCTACATTTATTTGGGTAAAAATTAATTTAAACTTATTAATTTTCTTAAGTAAATTTTTTTCATTTATGTGTACGATTTTGAAACCGGTTTTGTAGTTAGTAATAGTTTATTTCAAGTCATCAGTTCAGTTGGGTTTTTTGTATTCAGTTTACATTTATCGAGATGAGTTTGGGCCCCGATTTTTTTATATTTTGACACAAAAACCTCTACAAACTATTTGTTTACAATGATATTTTTAATATTTTGAATATCGATAAACCATAAGCTTTGGCTAATTTAAAAATAGATTTTAAAATTATCAAACCTGTTACTCGTACAGATTTTGGACTTGGGGACTAAAATTCAGATTCTAGTTGTGCATACCCACAAATTTGGCCACCACCACACTAAGGTCCACGAATCGCGAAATCCTGTCATGTCACTCTGCCACATTACAGCTGCGCAAAAATCGATTCACTAATCATCGATTCTTTTCGATCTTTTGTGAAAAATATCGATTAAATCGAAAAAGAATGGGATAAAATATATATACCCTTTAACAAGAAAGTTGAGATCCAGTTAATATTCCTTCAAAACATAACAAAAAAAACCATAAATTAAATTTTTAAGCCTCTAATGATTTTTCCGGGCCAAAATTAATATGTCAACCGTTTTCGTATTTTCATAACGTAAAAAAAAAAAAAAAAAAACATTTTTGAGGCTCTAATTTTTTTCCTGGCAAAAAAATTTTGCGAGCATCGATGTTTTAAAACATCATTATTTCCGATGTTTTGAAAAAAATATATGTTGGAAATTACGAAGCGATGGAGAAACATCAATGTTTGCAGACATCTTTGCTTGGATGTTTTCAAAAAAAAAACCTTCGATGTATCGATACATCGATGTTATTTTTTTTAAAAATTGTTGAGGAAGATCGTAAAGATGGTTTTTATTAATTTAAAGGCATAACAGAATACATACATTACAAATGAACTAAACGTAATAGTTTAAAATAGCGAGGATGGAGAAATCTTTAAAGGCGTACAATGGAAATGAATAAAAAGTAAATTAACCTTTTCCATTGTACGCCTTTAAAAATTTCTCCATCCTCGCCTAAGGACAAATAACTAAACTTTTTTATAAATTACTCCATTCTTGGGCCGGCTACACAAATACTACTTAATAAATCCTCATCAAATAAAATTAATGCAAATGCTTACTATCAAATTTATAAAAAAAATGTATAGTAGTCCTATTTCCTACTTAAGTAGCTTTTTCCTAGCACGTTTGTCAGTGATGGAAAATAAACAAAAAAAAAAAAAAAAAACCGATGTTTCTTCCAGCTCTGGTCAAGGGTCTATCTCAAAATTAGTTTTACAAATTTCTAGAGCAATTAGCGGAAAGTGACGTGATGATGTGTATATATGATTTGAATATTTATCGACAATTTATTTTATTGATTCAAGAGGATACTGGCGAAAGAACTGTTAGCGGGGGCGGCGGTCCTTGATGGTACTTTCGACCCTGTAGTTCGGCAGATGTCGCCACCTAAAAGCCGATTGTTATCTGGGGGCATATTTATTTGAAATTAATGGGTAACGGGAATATACAGGCCTGTTCCAGTTTTCAATCGGAAGTGAATTTGATAAGATTTTCGGATTTCCCTTAAACAAGGAAAATGTTCCTTCTTTTGGTCCTTTTTGTTTTTGAACAAAACCAGCTGACTGGCAGCTGTCCCCTATTGACACAGTCATTTGATTTTTCAGAGTTTTGGTACCCTGGTGTCCCTAGATTATACAAGATTAACGCATAAAATCGAAGAAACTGGCATTGACGGCCACAAATACAAATTTTCAAATTTTTGTATGCCGCCAGGGCTAGAAACCTGTGGTGTCAGTGTTGTGAAATATTCACAAGAACTGTTGAGAACCAGAGTTGCCAAAGGCGATAAAAAAGATCCCAACGAGATACGTGTCGCAGAAAAAGAACATTAAATTAAGCGTTAATAAGAACAAAAAAACTTTTAAATTTTACACTCATTAAATGCCTATCTACCATATTTAATCGAACACAAAAAGCGTGCTAAAAAACCTTTGCAGCCTTCCCTTCCACTCGTTCGGAAACTTGAACAGGGGCGGCGGAATTGCTAAAATGCGAAAGTCTAGAATCGATCTTTCCCAGAAGCAAAGTTATAGAGTGCGGGGTGTAGCCCGTATCGAGCTGCACACCGCATTTTCGAAATTTAAGCAAAAAAAAATTCCTGTTGAGTAAGAAAGTTGTGTTTACGGATTTAAGGAGCCCACGCAGTTTCTACGTTTTAAAAAAAAGGGTTTCCCGTCGAGCACCAAATTCGCTTTTTTGGGTCATAACTAGCACCAAATTAGCAAAAAATTTTGGAATAGAAATCATCACAATCGGAGCAATACGAGCTGGGGCTCGACTGACCTTCAAACTACGCATTTTGCTTTTATAGCAGTACCGAATACAAATACAATCAAGTTAGGATAATAGCCTGATTCCATTGCCGCATTAGTGGACTTTTTAAATGTGCCTGATTCCATTGGCGCATTAGCATTTAGTTAATGCTACTCCGACATGTGAGTGGCACGAACAGCTGATCTGGGCTTGTTTACTTTTGAATTTTGGCAAATCCAAAAGAAATAAATTAAAATTAATGAACATGAGTGAGTTTACTAAACTCTGTAATGCTCAGCAGGACATCCATATTGCGACCGAAACATTTGCCAACTTGAACGACAAAGAAGAGAAGCTGATTGCGTTGTTATGACGGGTTTGCAATGAAGGCCACCACAGTTTCTAAAAAAGGCAAGGATCCCCGTATATGTGGGAGTAATTTTATTCCAGAGGTCCAGCAGTAATGCATTGTGGTACTGCGAGCAGAATTTGCAGCGTGCGCTCTAGGTTTCAGTCATTTTTATACGGAATAGATTTTATATTAAAAAAAAATCAAAAATTGCGCCAACCTTGCTTATAAAAAACAGCTGTTGTAGTGGTGGCACGAACAAAATATCGTTAAACATCGGTATTTTCCAGTATTTTTTCTAAAAACTTTCGGGGCGAATGGTTTTTAATCGCATTTAAAAATCGCATTTATTTTAAATGCGGCATTTAGCCTTATGGGATTCCCTGTGTAAATAAATGCGCATTTGGCTAAATGCGTTTTAATGCGGCAATGGAATCAGGCTATAACATATTTCGCACACTTTTTATACAAAAAACAATTATTTTAACCCATTCGAGACCAACATTTTCCCTCAGGAATACAATTTTTTTTGTTTTGGCTTAGGTTTTTTACAAAAGATTTCAAGTCGCCACGCCAGTATTTTGGGCGCTATCGAAAGTTGCCAGTGAACAACGTTGGGCCATTGTGGTAAACAAAAATATTTATGTTTCTTAGATAACAGCTTATGACTAGTTTTAAATCTCTAAAGTTTCTCGACTCTCCATTATCCCTTCCAATTTTTTTTCAGGTCTTCAGAAATGTCTTCCATTTTATCATCACTCTCCTTGTCAGTAGAGACATTCCAGTCAAAATTAATAATTTTCTCAAGGTCTTCTTTTAACAAGCCCTTCACTTTTGATTTCATATCTATGTATAAAATTTGTTACATTTTTTATGAAGACAATTGTCCAATGTAGCCTACAAACTACATTTCAAGCAGATATAAACAAACGGCGCTCTTACAGCTATCCTCTAAACTTAAAAACTTGCCTACAGGCAAAGTTGGTCCCGAAAGGGTTTTCAGTCTTGTTACTAAGAAACAAAAAAAATTTAAAAGCCCATTTTGTAAATGTACATATGTAAGCACCAATTACAAATCCGCTGACTGAAAACAGAAAATGTAATGAATTAATTTTAAGTCACCAGTAATGAGGTTTTTCTTTAGAGACCATTATAATAATTTACCGATGACAAGAACAAAAAGCGCCTTTAAAAAAATTATTTAACAAATGATTCAATTTTTGTTTCTCATAACATTTTTTTAATATATGTAAATACATTTATCAATTATTTATATATATAATTTTTTATAGAATAAAATGCCGCAATTTATTATCTATAAGTAATATTAGATATGTATATAATAATGTAATTTGTACATATTGTGCATACCTACATAAATATTTTTACCTGCTAACATTGTGATGTACATACCTCCATACATAGGTACTTGAAATTACATTTGAATATATTTGTGCATTAATTTAAACAGACTTGCAATCTTTTTGGTTGTTCAACATTTCTAATCTTTTTCTTTTGAGATTTTTACCGAAAAATATAGATAGCAGACAAGAAAAAATGTTAGAAAACATACATATGTACATATGTCAATCATGAGGTAAAACTTTAGTGAGTCAGCCGTATGCACAATGTCTCAGGCTGCTTATAAGTAGCACACAACCAGTTATATCTGGATAGTTAAACGTTAGCATGTATGTATGTAGATAAAGAAAACGTATTTGCGTATGTTCGTACATGAATATGTACAAACGATAATATATGTATATAAAACTGTTGTATTGGATTATGATATAATAGTAATAATTTGTACAGACAAACTTAAAAATTGTTATAAATTTTGTTGATGCGAAAAACTTGCCTTGCTAGATTTTGTGAGGTCGACACTAATTCAAAATTAAAGTCATAAGATTTCTGATGGAGGGTTTTGTTTCTAGTTTCATCAAAGGAAGTTCCATTTACACCATTAGCAAAAAGGATAATTGTAAGTAAAGATGCAATATAAGTGGTTTTCATAGATCCACAACCAAGCACCAGAAATACTCGTTCAATTGTTGTATCATTTTTTAAACGTGTTTTTATGCAATTTGCTTCTTGGAGCAAGCAATGAACAATTTTCAGAAACTTTTCCAAGATACTAACACTGTTAGCAAATATAAGGCGTTCTGCCCATTTAGTCCGCTTCTGACTCTGGCCAAAAGAATGTTTACTCTTTTCCATTCTACGCTCTTGGGAATAACCGGTTACTGTAATTCACTGTCGCGTTTATTAATTCCGTACACTTTGTTTTTTTCGTTGCGTAAAATAACGTAACATAAATAAAAAAACACGTGAATTTAAAAATTTTTATTTTACGAGAGAAAACGAATCCAACAGCAGCGTTTGAACAAAAAATAACAAATACGCAGGTTTCGGGTATTGCTTGTTGTTTAAATACTTTAAGTTCGCCCCTTTCCTACACTCTTTTTACCTATACCTTGCTCTCATTTTTTTCTCTTAAATTTTCTCTATTTTAAGTTTTAGTATCCCTGCTAAAGCTCAGTATTTAGTATAGCCTAGTCCCACAGAGCACCATCCATTAACGGGACGGTCCATAATAACCAAATCCTACATAATAGCCTTGTTACACTGCAGGTTCCTATTGATATCGGACTAGACGCAATGACGCAGATTTATCGCTCACACTGGGCAGTCGAGAGTATATCCGTCTGCCTGCAAAAATAGGGCGATGGTAGTTTCGATTTGTAAATGAAAACCAACAAAATCTAGGAAAGCAACAGTAAATCTTGCAACAATTATGATTTATAGCAAGAAAAAGAATAGCAATGATAAGCTAAAACACATTTTTAACAGATATGTATGCAGTACTTCCGGTGTACTTGCTTATAGCCAATTCACAGTACAGTAATTTTTTGGGGGAACGATGGGAAGACGGTGAAAAAGTGAAACTCCAGTTCACACTACCGTCAACGTCTTTTTCTTCCGAGTTCTCAAAACAAAGTGAAATTCAACCAAAAATTATTAAAAAAATTAAAATTGATTGGATCTGACTTATATTTTGATTTATTTAATTCCACCGTTAAGGAATAACAGGGAAATTTTTAGCAAGGCAAATCCTTACGGATCACCTTTGAAAGAGATTATGAATGGTGGATGGTGCTCTGTGGGACAAGGCCATACATTGGTTTTAAACATTCTACTCACTCCATTATGACTGCTAAAGGCAGTTTTTCGATGGTGGATAGGATAGGATAGGGGATCATGGCTGCTGGGTTTCCGGGAGCAAGAGTTTCGCATCTATTACAAATCCCAACCCACGGGCCCTGTGGAATAGGGCTATTACCAACCTATTTTCTCCTGTCAATGATAGAACATAGAAACTTGTCGTGGCTATTTTTTCAAAACAGTGTGCTGTTCCCATCTCAACCGAGTTTCACAGAGTATTTTGTGTATATTTATAGCACATTACTTAAAAAAGTTGTCAGCCACAACGAAAAAGACGCAATGTAACAAACTTAAAGCACTGGAGCAGGCAAATTTGCTTACAATTTTAAACTTGTAGATATTATTTATAAAACAGCACATTGCTAGAGTGGAGGTTTCAGTTGTTCAAGACAGAACTCTCATGTGTAAGTTAACACAAGTCAACAGGCCAAATCGCTTGTGTAACAATTGACCAGGTGGTCTTCCACAGCTGTCGATCACAGCATATTGGCCACTTTGAATCGCTTCAGTTAGCTTTAGTTTTAAAATTTTACTCAGTTAAGTTTAGTTGTTGCTTCTCAACAAAAAAGAGATAAGTGGTTGACTTATTATTGTTATTATACTACAAAGTCTAATAAGTAGCATGGCTAGTAGCGATTTAGCATCGCTTGTTATCGATTATTCAGTTTTAATAAACTTCCTAAAGGTTTGTTCTTATAAGCAAGCTAAGCTTACCTGTGTTTCTTCCGCCTTGACGTACATAGTTGTTAGTGTGTCACAAGCCACGGTCCGTCGGCAGAAGTGTTTTTATCTCGCGCTCTCTCGCTGTTGCCCGTATGCGCGTTCTTTTACTTTGTGTCAAACTGACAGGTATTTATATACTTTAAATACGTATAAAGGACCTTTTCTTAGACTTAGATGGAACCGAGTCCAGCCAGGGTTCTCTACAGTTAAAATTGTAGAAATACAGAAATGAAATTCGGAGAGTGAGCTGCCGGAAAGTTTTCTGGGAAAACGGGCAGTGAAACCCCCGTCTTACACAGAGTAAGCTGCTCGGCTAGTGTCTAGCCAGGCGTCCCAATTGCGTAAAATAAGGTGCACGAAAACCCAGAAGGGCGGGAGTTCCGTTTCTTGGCGTTCTGCAGACTTTTATTCTCTTTGTTTTTATTCTCTTCGATCATCTACAGGACCGTAGACTTACCCAGCTAGTCCATGGGCTGTTTTTTCCGTTTTCACCTTACCACTGCTCTTCCTCACTGCCGCCAATCAAAGAGATTGAGCTTCAGACCTCGCGGCATGTAAGCTCGGTTCGGACTTCCTCATCCGTTTTCCAACACTCCTGTTACCGATGGTAGCGTTATCGCTATCGAACAGCCAATACCGCGGTGGCCAACACTAGGTGGGTTTCGCTGGGTGAGTGCGCGCCGATATTGAAGAAGTATATGGGCTTAGGGCATGGCAAATTTACTTCATAATATGTACATGTTGCTTTCGTAGCTAAGATTTTATATTATAACACAAAAAATGAGTGCGGGGTTACTCATGCGTCTCGGGCGATGCGCTTGGTGATGCACGGATTAGTGCGAGTGGTGTTGCGCGTGGTGGAGTGGGGGGAGACGCGTCCTTCCCCAGCAGCGCCGCCAGGTATTTCCACCTCGGGAGCATCAGGTGTAGGTGGAAACGGTCCGTCGGGCTGGTTGAGGTTTATGATGACCGTGTTGGGAGCTGACCCCGTTTTCTGGCCCGGAGTCATCCGGCTCTCGTTCGACGTAGCAGCCGCGGATATCGTTATTTGCTCGTGGGCGCGCCGGCCCAAACCGGACGTCTGTCCCAACGGATGAGTCGTCCGACGATTACGGGCTAACATTGGCCCGTTGGTAGGTCTCGTGGAAGCACCTCTCCAGGTGTTCGGGTGCGAACCCTTAGTGGGCCGTAACCGTTTCGGGATCCGCTGCCTTCACGACCTAGAGTCGGGCTAGCAGGGCCACCGTGAGAGCGGTCGGCTTGTTGACCTCGTGCTCCGTCCCTGCCTTAAACTTTTCCGGGGGCTCCGCGCGGATGACCACGATGGCTGCCGGTGAGCGGGGCACGGCGGAGGTGGAGTACGTGTTTTGCGGAGGCGTGTTCTCGGAAAGACCTTAAGGCGGTGATAAGCCCAGCCAAGGGCTATATCTTGGGGGTGTCGAAGATGACCGAGTCGTGGCTGCTTCCTACCATAGGGTTCCTCGACGTCGTATTAATTGTATGGGTCCATCGTAAATGTTTGCAGGGTGCTTCAACGTGTGGCTAGGTCTATATTAGATTAGCCTATTCTAATTAGCCTAGTTCGTAAATTAGCCAGTGTTGAGACAGGTACCATTTTTTTTTACCTAGGTAAGGTAAAAGGTAGTTGCAAATATTTGTACCTAGGTAAGGTAAAAGGTATGCAATTTCTTCTGTACCTAGGTAAAGGTAAAAGGTAAAAAATACAACTTAAAAATTTTTTAAATTTGAAATTTTTATTATCAGTTTCTTTTTCTGAGATACAAAGATATAAACATAAGTCACATTGGTTTCTTTTTTTGAGATCACCGGAAATTTTCACTTCTATTTTTGAATTTTTCGCTTTCAAAGCTTCATACGAAGAATAACTGTTCGGGTGAACCCTCTGAAAAAAAGTTTCATAATGTTTTAATGTCTTCATTATACTTCTTTAATTTAAACATTATTATGTGCTTAGTCATACATATATTTATAAAAATGTGGTTTAATAAAAAAAATAGTTTTACATTTTTTGGTGGAAAATAAAAAATAAAAATAAAGAATGACCACCCCATCAATGTCCATAAAATTATGACCATATGTATGTATTTATGTATCCGTCAATTTCTTATTAAAATGCACTTTTAGATTATTTAAACTTATGGAAAATAATTTTCGCGCGAAAAAATGCATGTGCATAGATATGCACATTTACATTTAAACATACACTCCAATAAGCACATATTCATACATATATGATGCATATGTTGCAGCATTGATATTATTTTCCGACATTGTAATAGCGCAGCGAGTTTCGGTTTTACACGCACGAAATCCTGAACGCAACTACTGGCGTCATCCCTTCCTCTTTCTGTGCTTTCCACCGAACCACACTCGGCGACAGCGGCACAACGCTGTCGCCCCGCTAAAACGGTACTTCTTAAGCGACAACACGCATACAACCAAACAAAGCACCGTTAGAGGCCGATGCAATATTACTTTACTGATGAAATTAGTCTTCTGGAATTTTCTAGAGACTGTATACCCATACACTCATACCAACATCCACACACTCTTAGTGTGCGCCGACACGGCCATCCTGACTATTACACGACCTCGTGCAATTTTACCAAAAATGCTTTGTTACCATTCAACACCTTATAAAAGTTTATTCAAATATAATTTTTAATTTATCATCTAAATCTATTATTTTCATTACAAATAACATCTTCCTATTGATACAGCTCATTTTTACATTATCATTAACCACTCAGGTTTCTCAAAAATATTATCTAATGCGCCACACGCCATGATCAAAACAATTGTTTTGCACTTGTGCTTACATTATTATAACAGATTTTATTATTAACTCTTAAAAACAAATGTACTGTCTCTTTCAACAGTTTATCTTTACATTATTTCAGTACTGTCTCTTTCAACAGTTTATTTTTACATTATTCAGTACTGTCTCTTTCAACAGTGTCCTTTTCAACTACTTCGTTACTGTCTCTTTCAACAGTTTCTGATTCAACTCATTTTCTTTATTACTGTCTCTTTCAACAGTTTATTTTTACATTATTTCAGTACTGTCTCTTTCAACAGTGTCTTTTTCAACTACTACATTACTGTCTCTTTCAACAGTGTCCTTTTCAACTATTACATTACTGTCTCTTTCAACAGTTTCTGATTCAACTTTTTTATTACTGTCTCTTTCAACAGTTTCAGTTTCAATTACATTTAAATCCTTATTACAACTTTCAAATTCAACTGGTATTTGAGCATTTGGCATTTTTCTTATGTCATCATGAGCATATTTATATTTTCTATTATTTGTCAAAGACCTGAGCATATACCTATCCCCCTCTAATAGTTCAGTTATTTGAAACGGCCCCCTAAACTTTGGACTTAACTTTGTCTGATGCCTTTCTTCATTCTTTAACAATACGAAATCTCCAACCTTGCATCCAACAATTTTAGCCTTGTTTTTATCAAATTGCTCCTTGTTATATGTTGCTGCAGCTGAAATATTTT